GCATTTTGAATCAAGCAGACAGTAGAAAGTGGACTTTTATATTTCTCTGTTTCCTGTGAGTTTAACTTTTCTGGGTCATGCAAATGCTTCCATTAAGTTTACAAACAACTGTCTCCCTAAAGTATTTATCTGGCAAAACCACAGCAGAGCCTGGATCCTTCCCACAGCACAACAAGGCTCTCAATCCACCAGTTGGCCCTTGCACAATATAAGATGAGAAGGTTATTTGAAAAGACAAGAAAACCTTCCAGTTTAATCCCAGCTTAATGTCATTCTTGGTGAAGAAATAGTTAAAGAATTTTTCTTTTTAACCATGGGAGGAAGAAGAGGGAATTCTAAACTCTAATTGTCCTAAAAATATGCAGAGAACACTATGTCGTTTTAATGGAATATTTGTTTTCTTTAAAAAAAAAAGAAAACTTCTAAGCAGAACCTAAGGCCCCAGGGGTTTAGACTGTGTGGATTTACTCATGCATGTGAAAAACTGAGAAGGGAATTTGGCCCTGTGCACCTAGGACATTAGAAACATATTTTAAAGCACTTAAATGTTAGGGATGAGGTAAATGGATCCTCCGGCTTTTTCCATGCTGTTCTAATTACACCTTTGTACGTCAAAGTCAGGCAGGGATGCTGCAGAGAAAGAGATTTCTTTCATGGACAGAATCACGGGATCAAAATTACCGGGAAGAGCTCAAGCTGGGCCAAGAAATGAGTGCTCTTGGCTCCTGATTCTGGTTGGAAAGTAGACCCCATGGTACATTTGAGAGCTACAGTTGGAGGGTTTTGTGATCAGGCACGCACTTGCAGGGCTCAGCTGAAGAAAGGTCATTTATCATCTTGTAAAATGCTGCTCTGACCCTAGACATGGTGGAACGGGCAGAACCTTGCTTACAGTGCAACTGATACTCCGTCCAGGTTGAGCCAGAACATACATTTGCTCAATCGCCTTATGCCCAATCAATCAGGCATCCCGGCGGGGGAAATCACAGGCCGCGTTCTGAGTCCTGGCACAGGAGGCGGGGTCCAGGGCTGGAGGCAGACACGTCAGCTGATTGGCCAGGATGGTGGCTCAGGCAGGGGCGGGGCTGCGGGAAGGCCGGGCACGCATGGGGGTTGGGAAGAGGCTCAGCCTTGCTACGCTGGCCTTCTGGCCCGACTCTGCTGCCCTAATGCTCTGTAGCAGGAATGCAACCTCTCTGACCTGCAGTTTCTCTCTTTCAGCATGAGCAGGTCATGCTGGCATTCTGCTAATGAAAAGAGTGATGAAGCACCCTGAAAAATACCCAGCACTGTGTGAAATGAAAGGAAAAGCGGCTTCAGGTTTCTAGATTTTTAAGTGTGCGCTGGGCGTACATCTGCAGAGAGGCTGCCGCATCTCCACTGCTGTGACGGTTTCCTCAGGAGACTGCAATATTCAGACTAAGGAGAAGGGGCAGAAGAGGGGAAAAGCAGTGCTCGGCGCTGCCTTTCCCCATTTCTGAAGTGTTTCCTCCCACACAGGAAGGAACAGTTTGGGACGTGAACTGTTACCATGGAGACAAGCAGGCAAGGTCACTTGTTTGAAGCAACGCGTGGCCCCAAGGCGCTGGATCATTAAGTGACTTTATGAAGTTGTGGTTTTGTCTTGGGCTCAGGCCACGAGCTTTGAGCCCACGCAGCCTCCATGCATGGCGCAGAGGAAGGACGCAGGGAGAGAGCCCTGCTTTGTCGCCCTGACGAACCTGTCCTCCTCTGGGTACCCCCTCTGCAGCCTTCAATATAGGGCTAAGGTTTTGTCCTCCCAGTTCCAGGAGTTTATTTTCTTACCTTGCATTATCTTGCTAAGAAACATCAACAAAGAAACCTCCACATCATTAGCTTTGCCCTTTTCTGTCCTCAATGGTTTTCCACCCACTGTTCAGAGAGAGGAGTGACACATCCTAGTCCCTTCTGGCTGCTAGAACAAAGTACTATAGACTGGGTGGCTTATGAAAAACAGAAATGTGATGCTCACAGTTCTGCAAGGAGGCTGGAAGTCTGAGATGAGGGTGTCAGCCGGGTCGGGTTCTGGTGAGGGCCCTCTTCCAGCTTGTAGACTGCAGACTTCTCCTGGTATCCTCACATGATGGAAAGAGAAAGAGCAAGTTAGTTAGCTCCCTGCTGTCTTATAAGGGCACCGATCTCATTCATGGGGGCTCCACCCTCATGGCCTAATTACCTCCCAAAGGCCCCATCTCCAAATGCCATCACATTGGGAATTAGTTTTCAACATGTGAATTCTGGGGTGGTGGAGGGGGGAACAAACAAACATTCAGTCCCTAACATCTGTTTTCCCAGCCTTCTTCCCTTTTTCTTCTCACTTCCTCCCATAACACAAAAGGAACAAAGATAATAACCAGCAACAGTAACCACAATGCATAATACTTACCAAGCACTTGCTACATGCCAAGTGTATATAGTTCACCCAATTGTTACAATCCTGTGCGTTGAGCCTCTTGTAGGTGCTTTGCTGGGAAATATGTGACATCTGCCCAATCCCCAAAGAGGCTACAGTGTCCACATAGATGATTTCTAATAATAGTGAGTCTGTTTCTGGTTAATTTATAGTATTAGTTGAATATTTCTCTGTGCAGAGCCCTCTGATTCTAAGACTACATAGCTTGTGTCATGGGCACAATGT